CGGGGGCTCCGAGCTGCGGCCCCTCTCCGTTCCCTTCCCTTTCTTCGGCGCCGGGCACACCGGCCTCTATGTGAGTAAAGGGGGGGCAGCAAGCGGGGTCTGCCCTCCCCTGGTGCCTCCTCTTTCCTTTGGTTTCATTTGTAAATGACTGTCCCGCTCAGCGAGGCATAAATCCGGCGTGGGTTTCCACGGGGACCATCCGATGGTCCACGTTTAACTTGGAGCATCAGGGGAAGTGCTGAGGGCGCTGAGGGGAGATCCAGCGGAGTTAGGAGTTTGGGAAGTGTGCTGGATCCCTGGCTCGGCGGGGCTGGTCCTGCCCCGGGTGGCACAAGGAGGGGTCCCCGCCCTGGCCAGGGTTCTGGCCCCGCCAAGCTGGGGGTCCTGGATGAAGCGTTTGCCTGCACTGGGGGAAGCCCCGGACTTAGCTCTGGCCGGAGCCAGAAACACCCGTGCCTCGTGGGACTGGTCCCCACTGCGGTGTGCCGGGGGGTCCTGGCAGCAGGGAGCTGGGCACAGCTGGTGGGGAGCACTTGGGCAGGTTTGCCGCGGCCCCCGGATGGTGTCCCTCGCTGCGGAGGAGGCAGCAGCGGAGCTCTGGGTGCGATGCAGAATAAACAAAGCTGCCCTTTGGTGTGTGTTGCAGTGGGCTGGGCTGGCCGCTCGGCACATCCCGCTTCCTCTCCTCCCTGTGCCTGCCGCGGCAGTCAGGCTGCTTGGCACCCCAGCCGACATGCTCCCTTGCAGCCCCTGAGCCACCTGGAGGGGACTGTGGCCAGAGAGCTTGAGTCACGCGTGGCCCGTCGTGTCCCCCTCGGCTGGGATCATCAGACAGAGCAGCAGCCCTGAGTGCCCGGTTGTCCCTGGAGCCTTTTGGGTGGTGCTGGCTCCAAAAGCCTGCCCTGTGTCCTGGGGTGAGGACTGTGCTGCCCACTCTGGCTCCTCACTTGGCACGGTGAATCTTTTGACATTCTAGTCCTGTCTCTTCTCCCTGGTTTGCTTTGGGCTGACTGACCTCCTGGCCCCAGCTGATGGGGGAGAGGGCTGAGCATCACATTGGTGTCATCTTGGAGCTGGGCTCCTATGCTGTCCCACCACCTTGATTAAGCAGAGGAGGTCCTTGGTCCTCACCAGTGGTGTTTTTCCTCTGGTAAAAGCACCAACCCTGCTGTCAGGCAGGAGGGACCTGGGCTTGGGGCTTGAGCCACAGTGGGAGGATAGAGAAGGCTGAGGGAAGACAGGTGACATGATGGCTGTCCCATACAGGATCTGCAGCATGGCTTTGGGTCCTGGAGGGGCTGCAGGGGTCAGTGGGTGGTGTGTCCCACTTCCCTGAACTGCGACCCTCTGGCTCTGCAGGGCCAGTTTCACTCCAACCCTGGCACAGGGGTTTGTGTGGCAGGGCTGCTTCTCCCTGGGGAGCTGCTCTCCTAGGGGAGCTGGAAGAGGGCTGGTCTCACCTGGAAACCTCTGTCCTCCAGGGCTTCCTCCAACCACCCCCTCCTCCTTTGCAAAAACCAGCAACAACAACAACAAAAAAAGCCCTTCTTGGCTCCGATTCTCTCCCATCTTGCTTTAATCAGGAGAAGAATGTTCCTCTGCGGACACCGCGGGGTTACGGAGGCTTTGGGAAAC